GCGGACAGGTGCGGTGCGAGCCCCAGCGCCCTTCGCGACCTGCGGCAGCGACCGGGCGCCCAGGCTGGCGCCGCGGGGGAGTCTCCTTGGTCCGCTCCGGGGTGGGCAGAGGAGGAGGGAGCCGCAGCTTGCCGAGTTCGTCCGGCCACCGACTTGTATGTTGCGTCAGACCCCCAAGAACCGCTTGGTCTGGGCTCTGTCACGTCTTAGGACTGCTGAGCTTTCTGCTCATCACCTAGCCTCCGGGCGCCTGCTGTCCCCACCCTGGGCTGGGGTCACTGGGGACAGCGTGGATTCTTCCTCAGAAACCCACGTGGGGGACGTAGTAGTGCGCTCAGGGGACTTATACCCCATCTTGGGGGAGGGGGAGGGGGGCAGGAAAGAAGCGCGCAATTCCTTTGCTGGCAAGATGCCCTACTCCACCACACGGGACCTTCCCTAATTTACGTGCCTTCACTTCAGAGGGGGACGGCACCCCCCATTGCAGGGACAAGAACTGGCCTTGCCCTTGGAGCAGGGTGGGGTGGGGGCAGGGTTTTTGGAGCCCTTCCTGGACCATCAGCGGTACACAGGCTTTTTGTGAACTGGCTCCGCCCACACCTGCAACACTGTGGGTTGTAGGACGATAGCAGTCAGGAGCTCTACCTGGTTTCCGAGACCACGGAGGCAGTGACCTGGGCCACCTTTCTCCCCAGCCCCAAGGCTGGAGACTGAATGAGCTAGAGGGAGGGAGTCCTCACATTTCCCTCCCCACAAACACCAGGCCACTCTGCCCAGGCCCTGGCAGCACCTGGGAGAGACCCAGCAGCTCTAAGGGTGCCCTGGGAAGGACTCCCCTCACCAGGTTAGGTGTCCAGAGTGGGTCTGACCTGGGAGCCTCAGACTGCAGGCCTGCTCTGCTGACAGTGGACGTGAGCGCTAAGAACCGGCTTGCTAGCCCTCCGTTGTTGGTCAGCTCAAAGCCCTGCTTGGCGCTGGCCAGAGGCAGGCACCAGGGGCATAGTCGGTTTCCTCATGCCTCCACCACCACTGCCACCCACCACCACCCCTCACCCAGTGTTCTTAGCTCCTGCATGCAAGCGGACCACCTGTTAGAATGTTCTAGGGCAACTTGACATTGAGCGAAACTCTGCCCCTGGTGTCCGCCACTTTCCCTGGGGTACATTTGACTCAGACACCCTGCGTGTGTCGGGACTGGACTGTGCTCCGAGGGCTGCCTGGGAACAATTCGCCAGGCCTTTCTTCCTAAGTACCGGGAAACTCTGATCTCCAACACTCCTCCCTACTCCAGGGACGGAGGTTGTCCCAGGGCTGCCGCCGGCTCAGAGACCGCTGCTCCGGGCAGGCGCCAAGGGGTGGAGTTTCCCGCCGGCTGGCTTGGAGCCACTTCCTGGCGAGCGATCTGGGCCAGCCCCTGACCTCCCCATTACGTCTTGTTTCTCGCGGTCCCATTAGCTGCCGCCTTGCGTTTGAAAGCACTCAGCTAGGTGCGGCGCTGTGGGTAGCCCGCGGGCAGCAGAATTCCAGGGCAGAGGGATGGCGCATCGCATCGCAGGCTGGCGCTTGACCTGCACGCTGAACCCAGCGGAGTTCCTGTTTGGGTTTATTCGACAAGTGAGGCTGCAGCCCTTCCCCAGAACTTCCCTGTTCTCCAAATCTTCTCAGCTCTCCAGGATGGCGCTGCAGCCCCAAGCAGGGGGACAGGGTCCCCAAGGATCCTGGGCACTCTCATCAGTGTGTCAACTAGGCCCAGACAGGCTGTCACTGCTCCCTGCTCCCCCATGACCCTCCTGACCCCAACTCAGGGAGTCTGGGGGATTTCTAGGAAAGATGGGAGTTGGGGGTAGGGGTGTACAGTCCCAAGCCTTGACTGGGACCCTCAGCCAAGGGGAAGGCAGGCAGAACCCTGATTCTCACAGCAGGCCCAACTCTGTTGACAGTGGACAGGAGACATCAGCAGAGCCAGGGTTGGTGTCCAGCTGTGCCCAGGGAACCTGGCCTGCTGTCCCTCTGTCGATGGTCAGCTCACAGCCCTGCTTGAACTGGTCAGAGGCAGGCACCTCGAGTGCATAGTCCAATCCCTGAAGGCCCCTGGCTTTGATCTGACTTAATGGCAGAGACGTGGGTTCTTGTTGGATCTTGTCCCCCTCTCTACAGCACTGACCCCTGGGACCAATACAGTCCATGGGGTCCCCAGAGCTGCAGCTGCTGCTGTGTTTGCAGCCAGGGTGGGTGCCCTCAGCTTTCCTTGCCCCCCATCTATGTCTGCAGCAGGTGCTCCTGGCCGAGCCTAGCTGCAAGGGAGCCAGGGAAAGCACAGATGTGGAGCCAGCTTGCCTTCCAGGAGGGGTATCCCAGCCCCAAGGCCAGCCCATTGTCCCCACCCCCATGGAGGAAATAGCCTGCTCCGCTGGGAATGAGACTCAGAGGAGGTGCATGGACATTAGAGTTGAGTCTGTATCTGGGCAGGTTCTGGCCCTGGGGGTAGACCTGGAGGAGGGGGAGGAAAACATGGGGGGGGGGCGGGCACCTGGCTGGTAACCTGGCCACAACACTTGGCAGGATGGACTGTCCCCCTCTGCATACAAACTGCCTTCTGGGATCCCCGAAGACCCAGTGCTGCCCAGCATCAGCCAGGGCTGCTCCATTCCAGCTGCAGCCAGCTGGGCTGTCTGGGGCCCAGATGCAGCCGGCTGGCCTCAGCGGCCCGCCCCACACAGCCACCTGTGGGTCCCATGCCTTGACTGCTGGCCTCCGGGGTCCAAGTAGGCAGTAAGTTGGCACCCACCCCTCTCTCCAGTGTCTTGTTCCCTATGGGGGTATCCTCGGGGGGTGCTCCTTTCCTTAGAGCTAAGAGCTTGGCTCCAGCTTAGGGGGGCTATGCGCTGTGGGTCAGTGCAGAGTGGGGGTCCCTGGCCCCACTCCCTCATCTGGGGACTCCAGCACTCTTGTGAGGATGACCGGGGCTCACCTGGGGCTTAGCCTGCAGCTCTCAGGACACCCATCCTCCTGGCCTGGAGGGAAAGGCCCCCTGCCCTGTCCCAGCTCTCCAAGCTCAGGGTGCTGGAGCCCCTCAGCACCCTCAGGGTGCTGAGTGCCCCAAGCCCAGAGTCCTGCGTCTGAGTGTCCCCTTATCTCCCCACGTGGTGGACCTCCGACTCCAGCCCCTGGCCCCAGGGGCCTGGAACCCCAGCAGTTATTCAGCAGCGGCCAGCCTGGTCTCCCAGGGCCATGTGGCCTCTGTGGCAGGATACTGTTGCTTGTGGCCCCGAGTGGCCTAGCCTAACAGGCTCATATGAGAGACAGGCTTGGCTGAAGGCTGAGGGGTGAGGGGAGCTCCTGCTCAGCTGAGGGGTCATGGGCTCCTCTCAGCTCCTCAAGCCCTAATGAGCTGCAGGCCACAGTCCCTGTCCCAGTCCCCGGCTGGTCCCCATCTCTCACAGCCTGCCAGTCCCACCCCCCTGCTCTGACTGCCACAGGGGAGGGCCCGAAGGCCATGTGACCTGAGCTTGCCCCCCTCCACCCTGTGATCTGCACGTGGCTGGGGGAGGTGGCTGCCAGCCCTCAGATCTGCCACTGGGATGCCTCTAGCCCCAGGACTTCAAAGGGGCCAGCGAGGAGTGTGTGCATTGGGGGGGAGTTCTTAAAGGGCCACGCCACTTCTAATTCAAAGCAGAGACTGGGACAGCTGTCAGGCGGCTGCTGGGGGGCCAGGACCACATGGCCCCCACCAGGCTTTGCTCCTCCCCGACCCTGGAGACACAAGAGCAGGTGAGACAGCAGAACCAGGATTTGCTGTGTGACCCTCTGGCCGGCTCGCTGGATTGGACTGCGGCGTGAGTAACCGGGAGACTGAGACTGGGCACAGCCACAGCCAGGGCCCTGGTCACCCCGGTGTGTGGGGGGCTAACCTAAAGCTTGGGCCTTTTTAACAAACAGGTCCCCAGGCTTTTTTGGCCTACCACACACTTCAGGGGAAAAAAAATACATAGCGCCGCCCTGGCAATGGGAACTGTTATGTCCTAGCCTGGCTCCAGGACAGTCTGGGGGTCTGCCTGTGCAGCCCCCGCCCCACCCCTCTACTCCCAGAGAGAGTTCCGGACCTCAGAGACCCGCAGGGCAGTTCTAGCCTAGGGTTGCTGTGAGTGGACAGCTGACATGGACTCCTTGGCAGTGAGTTTTGTTTCCTTTTTTCTTCTATCGTCCAGCACCGCGCCCCCGCCTGAGGTGGGGTGGGGTGGGGTGGGCAGAGTGTCACCCACTTTGGGAAACACTGATTTAACAGGATAAGGGATATGATTTCTCTAACCTGTGTGGGAGCAGGGAGGCCTGGCGCAGACATGTACTGGACTGGTGTGGTGTGTGTGTGTGTGTGTGTGTGTGGGGTATTCCCCAGGGGACAACAGCACTGATTCGTCAAGTATATAAAGCTCCTACTGTGTGCTACCTGCCATCTGGTATGTATATGTGTGGCAGGGATGTATGTGGGGGTGGTGGGAAGGGGGCACAAAACAAACCCAAACTCGATGTTATCCAGCTGCTCAGACTCCCGGCATCCCTAGAGGCCAGAGAGGACCTGCCCCTGAGAGTCTGCCGGGGGCGGTGAATGAGGCGGGGACCTCAGGTCCAGCTGGTCCCGTGGGAGGCGGGGGTGTTTGAGGCCTAGGGCTGAGGGCCATGGCAGCACCTGAAGGCGGCGTGCAGCACGATGTGTTTCTGTGAGCCACCAAGGACCCTGCTTCCCACACACCCTGCTGTGAGAAGTCCCTGGACCAGTGACACTTGGTATTTTCCGGAAGAGTTTTGTGGACAGGCTGGGCCTGGACATGATCCATGCCTCTGTGGGGCTGAGAGCCTGGGCCTAGTCCTACAGCCCTTGGTCAGTCTACACTCTGTGCTGTGCTCTTTCCAGAAGCTCAGAGACAGATCAAAGTGCCTGGGAGCCGCCTCACTCCTAGGGAGCACCTGTCAAAGTCGCCAATACACTCAGTCCAGATGAGTCAGATTGTCTCGTGACCAGGACTCTGCTGACCATCATGGTAACCACGACCCCCTGGCCTCTGTCCACTGAATGGTGCATGCGACTAGGCCCTTCCCCCCCAGGAACCCAATCCAACCCATTGCAATCAGATGTCTTCTTCTTTTTTTCCCCAGATATCTTAATGAGGGCCATTCCCACCGTCCAATCTGACTTCTGTAAAATAGGAACACACTGACTCACGGCCATCGAGTCCATGCCGACCCTGGTGACCTTGTAGTCGCTGCCCAAAGCGTCTCCACTGTGCCACCCGGGCTCCCACTGTCATCACAGCTGTCTCCACGGACAAGGCGCATCCAGGCTCCATCCTGATCACCCCACCAGAGCATGACAAGTTCCCTCACCCTCCAGGGACTGCCTTTTGCAGGGTACGAGGTAGACCTGATGCGTCCACGAGGCTGATTGTGGGCCGTCGTGAAACCCACGCTTCAGCAAAGGCCCCCGAACCAAAGGTCACGTCCCCTCCTGGCCTCTCTAGCTGGACAGGAGTGACTAACCACAGATGCAGCCGGCCCAGCCTGTGCGTCTCCCACATCACCACACCCTTCGTACCCGTTCCACACCTGCCTGCCAGGTTTCTGTTCTTCCACAACAGGAAAGCCCAGTAGTTTTACAGGAGTGCAGCATACCTCTTCCCGGGCCGCCATGCCCACTGCACCTTTGGAACTGGCTGCGACTGGAGTCTAGTTACAGGTCTAGAAGCAATGGTGGGTGGGGAGGCTGCTCCCTGGGAACACACAGCAGTCTTTGCCTCAGGGCCCGCAGCTCATCTACGGTGGTGGCATTTTGCTCATTAACATTGCCACCTCATTGCCCGGGGTTAACCAGCCCACTTGACTAATAGCGGCAGGCCGACTTAGCGGTTCTTGAAGACTTGAGGCTTAATCACACTTAACAGTCAATTTAGAAAACGTATCCTTACAATTGTGTTTCTCTAGAATCATCGCAGTCTGGTACCAGATGTGTTAGGGTGGGTTCCCAGAGAAGCAAAACCAGTGATGTGTGTGTGTGTGTGTATTGATAGATGATAGATATTTTATATCAAGAAAAGGGCTTACTTACACTGTTGTAGAAGCAGGCACGTGAGTCTGTGAGTCTCCCCAGGCTAGAAGCTGCAGATGAATCCAAGTCACCCGGCCAGAGGGCAGGCCGATGATGGCCCAGGATCGGCAGGCTGGTGGGTGAACCCTAAAGAACCGCAGGCCGATGACCAAGCGCAGGACCCTGAGCAAAAAGCAAGCCTTCCACCGACTCCTTATATAGGATGCAGGCCACACCCCTCAGGAGGTTTCATTTAATTGCATCAGGGCGATGACCTTTTTTTCCCAAATCTTTCTTTTGAGATAGTGTGTTAGTCTCCACCCAAGTTGACACCTATTGACCCTCTAGTCCAGGGGTCCTCAAACTACGGCCCGGGGGCCACATGTGGCCCACCGAGGACATTTTTCCGGCCCGCCGGGTGTTTTTGCCCCGTTTGTTTTTTTACTTCAAAATAAGATATGTGCAGGATGCACAGGAATTTGTTCATAGTTTTTTTTAAACTATAGCCCAGCTCTCCGACGGTCTGAGGGACAGTGAACTGGCCCCTGTTTAGAGAGTTTGAGGACCCCTGGTCTAGTCTATTACTACCCCACCCCACCCCACTTACTCTCCCACCCCTGCTAGCAATTAAATTTTGTTTCTTCGGGTATGAAAAACCTTTTCTTATCCCCCACCCCCACCCCATACATGGTCTCAGTCAGCATTTGCCCTTTGGTGAGAGACTCACGTCACTCAGCATAACCTCACCTGTGGGAAGCTCACACTGAGGGGAGGATGATGAGGACTATAGTCCCTAACTTACAATAGAGGGATCTGGAGAGCTGGGATTCCACAGTAGGAAAGCCTCCACTTTGGTCAGTTAGAGGCAAAATCCTAGTACGCTATCCTGCTTTAAATATTATTCCCACAGATTCTCCCCTAACAGCTATGCTGCCTTAAAGTGGGCACATGGTGGGTTCTCTCTCCCTGTAGAAGCAGACATCTTTTTCTCTCTTCCCAACCCCACCTCACACCTTCCCCCAAGGCAGGTATTAGGTATGCTCACCTGTGAGCTCAGAGGCCTTAATGTAGATACCATCTACTCTGTGACGCACCAAGTATGCATGTCTCATGGCTACATAAATGTCTCTTCTCCCAGTTCCGTGTGATCCACCAAGAGGAGCTGAGGTGAGCATCCGCCATAAAATGAGTCTGACGCCTTTATTTTCCTCGCTTATCTTTCTCATCCTCCATGACCTTACTGTCACCTTCCTGGGTCATCGCTGCACGTCTGCTCTGTGTCTTCGGGCCCTTCCACCGCCCGGAGGCTGGTTCCTCCGACAGCCACCCAGGTGTTTGGCAGTTTCATGGTCACTCTCTGTGCACCCTCACGTACTAGTGTTCCTTTACCCCTCCTCCCCCGGCTGGGTGTTAGGCTGTTTCCATCTTTATGCACAGTGAACTGTGATGCGGTGAACGTGGGGTCCCGAGATCCTGCCGTGTCCCTCGTTTCTGTAGGGCACGTGCCACGCAGCACGATCGCCGGGTCTACAGTGTTTCTATTTCCAGCTGCCCGTGGGGCCGCCATGGTGCCCTCTCCACAGAGGTTGCAGGTTTTCACAGTCTCACTGGCGGCCGTGTAGGAGCGTTCTGATCTCGGCACATCCCCTCCAACATTTGCCATTTTCTGCTTTTCAAAGCATGGCTATCGGGGCCGGGCGCCTGGGCAACCTCTCCCCCGGCGCCCTGTAACAAGCAGAATCTGCTTTCTTTCTGTTTGCTTGTTTTTCAGGGTCCGTTTTCTATCCACATGAGAACAACATATAGAGGCGAGGCCTGTGCTCTCGTGCTGAGGGATGGAAGGTGGCAGACGGTGTGGAACTGCACATCGGGGAATGGAGGAAATGTGGCTGCTAGCTGGAGATCCCGAGCAGGCCGGAGACTCAGACGCAGAGCTCTTGTCTTCTCTTGGCCGTGGGTACCGAGAGGAGCCAGCTTCTGAGGGCATCCTCAGCTGAGGGCAGCAAGGTGGTCAATCTGCCCACCCTCAAATCCCCTTCCAACCCCAAACATCAGAATCACAGCCCCGTGGCTTCCCAAGGCTGTCACTCTTGACAGGAGTAGAAAGCCACATCTTTCCATTGATCTGTCTATTCTCTGGCTCCAGGATACAGGTGAGGCTTTCTATTCCTGGCAACAGTGACAGTCTCAGAAACTCACAGGGCAGTTCTACCGGGTCCCAGGGACGCCGGGAGTCTGCAGTGAGCGTAGTGTTCTTTGGATGGAAATGGAGCGACTGGAGGGAGAGCTGCCGGATCCCCTTGGGAGCGCTTTCAGTCCGTGAAAATGGGTACAAAGGTAGGTCTTTCTGTAACTGCAAAGTAGTACTAGGTGAACTTTCAAAATGAGGGGGACACCTGTAGAAAACAGGGCCTCGTGGAATCCAGATGCTGGGGAGCCACGGAGGCTGGATGAATGCCCGGAATGATTGCCCCGAGATGATCTTCAAATCTTAAACCAAAAATATCCCCTGGAGTCTTCCTTAAACCAAACCATCGTTTAGCTTAACCAGTCAGGAATGTCTGCCGTGAGCGCCACGCTCAATTTAGGCGCACACTGACCACAGCTCGAAAGGTCCGATCGGAAGCTTAGGGGGCAGTGAGTTTATATCCAAGGCTGGGGGGGAGCAAGTCGGAAAAAGGGGTAAGAAGGCCACGAAACCCTAAAGATTCGGTCTGAGCTTAGAGGGCAGTGAGTTTATGTTCACGGGGAGGAGCGAGTTGGAAAGACGAGAGGATGGTGGTGCACCACTTGAAGCAGGTCGCTGAATCCCCCGCGGAGAAACAGTGGGCGTGGGGCGTGGGGCTCCGTGCGATGCGACACGCAGCAGCAACATCGAAGCGGAAGGCAAGCCAACCAGAAGCTGCGGAGAGAAGCTTCCGCCAGACCCAGACCTCAGCAGCCTGGGGGGGTGGGGGACAGCTGGCCAGTGTGTGCTGGACACAAAAGGGGGTCTCGGTCAGTAGGAGGCAGGCACTTAGGAATTCCAGGGGGACGTGGGAGAGGCTGAGTGGGGGCACACGGGGAGAAGGAACCTGGTGACCTAGGTAGGTGGGCCAAAGCCAGGGGCTTTTTAAAAAGTTAGTATGGATTATAATACACGTGGCTCAACCCGTCAGAACAGTAGTGACGGGGTCCCTGTCAGTGGAACCAGGGTTTGTTTATACCCAGGTCTGTGCAGGGCCTCGATGGACCTCAGAATGTCCCCAAGGGGTCAGCTCTGAGCCCTGCTGTGCACCAGGCCCGCCTGGGCAGGTCTGAGCTGACAGGAGTGGGAGGTGGTTCAGAGGGGCAAGTTGGGGTGTGTGTATGGGGGTGGGGGGCGTTAGTGAATCCCCAGATTCATGTCTTCCAGGAACCTCAGAATGTGACTGTGTTTGGAGCTAGGGTCTTAGCAGATGTCCTTAAGAGGCAGATTGAATTAGGGCAGTCCCTGATCTGATGAGTGGTGTCCTTCGAGGAAGAGGCAAGCCTGAGAGGATTGAGAGTGATGGGCTCCGAGTCTGGGAATGCTGCCAGGAGCTGCCAGAGCCCGAGATTCAGAAGGCTCTGCTTGGGGCCTGGGCGGGGTCACAGTCCTGTGGTCTGGTCTCCACTCTCTTTCCTGTTTCCAGGCCATTCCATGTGACACCTGGTTATGGTGTCACCTGGTCCGTCTGACTCACAGGAACCGTGTGTGCAACAAAACAAAATGCATCCTGGGCCTGCGGCATCCTCGCCGTGGTTACGATGGAGGCCTTTGTAGCCACGTCAGCATGACATCAGTCCCTCTCCCGCAGGGTCTTCCTCTTTTCCTGGACCTTCTACTTTACCTGCTGTAGCATTTGATTTAGGCCAAGGGGGAGGGGAAATCAAATTCCATGTCCCTGCTCAGAGGCTGACATCAGACCTGGGTCCACCCCCCCACCCCCCGCCCTTCAACCTTCCCACCCATCCTGCCACCAACTGAAATCTCCCCGGATGCTTTCTCTACTTCTCAGATGGATTTGAGGCCACGCAAACCCACAGGCAAGACTCTGTATTAGAGGGCTTACTGAGGACTTCACCGGGTTTCAAAAGCTCAGCTTGCAATTCTGCAACAAGAAAGCCTCTCTCAGCAAGGCTCACAGCGGGGAAGGTATCTGGTTTATGGCCTCTGCACAACCTGACCGCCAGCCTCTTCCCTGCTCTGTAGTTTTATAAAGTTCTTTTAGGGCTGCTAATAAATGCCCAGAGGGCACCCCACTCCACCCTAGGCGGCTTCAGCCAGAAGATGCTCAACTTGAGCTCCATGAGTCAGCAAACTTAGTCCCTCCCACCCCAAGTAACGCTTGTAGCCCCTCCTGCCCCCTCTACTAGAAAGCCTCTGGGCAAGGGCACTGGGCTTTACTAGCTCCGTGGGGTGTGACTCTCCTGGGACCACAGCATGGGTTCACTGGGGGTGGCCTGGTGACATTTGTGACCGGGAAGCCTCCAAAGACCCAGGATAATTCAGTACCCCTCAAACAAGGTTTCCAGAGGCCACAGAGAGTGTGGCGGGTGGGGGCAGGAGGCCATCCATGTGCTGAGGGCACACTCGGGCTTTCCGGTTTTTCCGACATAGAGGAGCAGGTGCCCGTGTCTGTGTGTGTTTGGTGGGTGCATCACCTGTACAAAGGTCTGACAGACGGCAACCACACAAAGGAGGCAGGTGTGGTGCCATCAGCAGGGGGCAACTTGGAACCCAGGTCTGAAGGATGCACTACAGAAGGGTGCTTACCTTGCTCACCTGTGTTCAACCTGAGAGGTTCGCCTGCAGTGACTCATAAGGGAACAGGGTTGAACTGTGGTATTAGTGAAGAATATCGGAAGGACCATGGTCTGCCAAAAGTGCAAACAGATGTTCTGAAACTGATTGTGGTGATGATGCGCAACTCTTCTCGATGTTGTTGAATTATTGGATTGTGTGCAAAACTGCTGGAGGAACAAACAGTCTTGGAAGGGCAGCCAGAAGGCTCTTTAGAGGCAAGGATGGTGGGATTCTGCCTCACTCGCTTTGGACATGCCAGGAGAGACCAGTCCCTGGAGAAGGACATCATCCCTGGTGAAGTGGAGGGGCAGCAAAAACCAGAGGAAGGCCCTGGACAAGATGGAGGGACACAGTGGCTCCAACAATGGACTCAAACAGAAGAACAATTGTGAGGATGACGCAGATCCCAGGGTGCTTCATTCTGTGGTTGGTATGAGAAGGGGCTCAGTGGCACCCGACAACAGCTATAACAGAGGTCGAAGGTCACCCCGGCTGGGGGTGTGTGTGTGTCTGGGGAGTCAAGTGGGCCGGCAGATATAGCCATGGTGCTATGATGAGCCTGGGTCAGAGTTGAAGGGGTGGAAATTGCCAAGGTCAGGGGGGGAACAGCTTGTGCAAACACAGGTGACGGGAGGACTACCGGTCTGAGGCTACACAGGGCTCCTGATTGGGGACCAGTGGGGTAGGCCCCACCAGCAGCCAGGTCTGGGCCTCCTGAGCTGGGTCTGCTGAGTGGGAGAGGCTGTTGCAGCCAGAGCCGGGAAGGGCACCTTGGGGTGGGGACAGCAGCAAAAGGGTGAGTACCCAGATACTGTCTAGTGTTGGGGGACTTCGAGGTGCAGGTGCGAGGTGTGTCCTTTGGAAGGTGGGAGGACTTAACACAGGGAGGCAGGGCAGGAAGGGAATGCAGTGTGCAGGGGTTGGGTACCGGGAGGGTGAGTGTGCAGGGGTTTAAGATGCCTTTATGAGAGGTTGGACCAGGAGTCCCAAGGGGAGGGGAAGATAGGTTCCTGGTGCTTTGATGAAGTC